CTCTTTGTCCTTCAAACGTTTATTGGTAACTTAAATTATTTATTTATTGGCTCTAAGAATGAGAATTCTTTAAAAAGTCAGTATTGTTTATATTACTCTTTATCATATCTGCTATAAGTCTTATTTGTATATATTATTTTTATTACTATCACAGGTGTTTAAACTTCGTCTCCGTACATTAAACATGAAGGAAGATTACTCTGAAAAGTGTACATTCGTCAACAGTTCCGACCAAGCAACAAGGCCTTTCTCGATGGCCGTCCACGCTAACACACCCCTTCGAGATTTGTTCTGTGTAATATAAACGCAGTCATAGCTTAACTGTATTAGTGAGAGTATATAGCTATGTCATGACTTTCCCGGTTCTTGGTAGTATATATCTGATAACGATTAACATTTTTCATCCCTGATTCCAAGGGTATATTTCACCTCTAAACTTTATATTTTTTTGTAAAATCTTTTTTTCCCAGGATGACAACACCTTTTCATAATAGCGCTATCGACCGTTTCCTGTCGTTGCAATGTCGCTCCTGTTTCTATGCCGCACGGTAGCTGGGGAGTTGCAAGCAGGTCATGCAACCATCTTTTCCCAGAACTCTGTTTCTCCTTCTTTCTCATCCATTTTTTTCGCTCATCTTTACATTGTAAGTTCGTGTCCAACTTTCTTCCATCTTCTTTCTCTTAACAGGTTTCTTATTCGTCCGTTTTTCCTCCTTCCTGTATTTCTTTGTTGGTTTCTTTCAACAATCCAATTTCGCGTTATTTGTATTCGTAGTTACCTTCGCATTAACTACCTCTTCGATTTAGAAATCGATGTGCTTGCTGTCCGTTTCACAGACAACTCCATTTTCCTGGAAGAGAGGAGCTGCACTTGGCGATAACAGAAACCCTAGTTTGGTTGTCCATGGCCTTTTGCAGATTTTTCTAGGTTATTTCACATAGGTTTATTCATATCCATGACTATGTTTGTAATCTGAGTTATTCTATGTAAATTGAACCTATACTTTGTCCTAGTATGAATAAGCTACTGGCTGTATACATAGCACTGAGTACGAAATGCAGTTAGCTACTTAAGGTATCGAACCCGAACATGAAACTAAGTTTAGGTACACATATCCCAGCAACTGCGGTGTGTTCAACATGGAATCGATCCGCTTTGTGTTTATTACCAGGCAGTGCTGACGTAGGTCCACCAAACGTTCATTGCACCCTGCCGATCTCTCTCTCTCTCTCTCTCTCTCTCTCTCTCTCTCTCTCTCTCTCTCTCTCTCTCTCTCTCTCTCTCTCTCTCTCTCTCTCTCTCTCTCTCTCTCTCTCTCTCTCTCTCTCTCTCTCTCTCTCTCTCTCTCTCTCTCTCTCCTCTCTCTCTCTCTCTCTCTCTCTCTCTCTCTCTCTCTCTCTCTCTCTCTCTCTCTCTCTCTCTCTCTCTCTCTCTCTCTCTCTCTCTCTCTCTCTCTCTCTCTCTCTCTCTCTCTCTCTCTCTCTCTCTCTCTCTCTCTCTCTCTCTCTCTCTCTCTCTCTCTCTCTCTCTCTCTCTCTCTCTCTCTCTCTCTCTCTCTCTCTCTCTCTCTCTCTCTCTCTCTCTCTCTCTCTCTCTCTCTCTCTCTCTCTCTCTCTCTCTCTCTCTCTCTGCCTCTCTCTCTCTCTCTCTCTCTATTACCAGGCAGTGCTGACGTAGGTCCACCAAACGTTCATTGCACCCTGCCGATCTCTCTCTCTCTCTCTCTCTCTCTCTCTCTCTCTCTCTCTCTCTCTCTCTCTCCTCTCTCTCTCTCTCTCTCTCTCTCTCTCTCTCTCTCTCTCTCTCTCCTCTCTCTCTCTCTCTCTCTCTCTCTCTCTCTCTCTCTTCTCTCTCTCTCTCTCTCTCTCTCTCTCTCTCTCTCTCTCTCTCTCTCTCTCTCTCTCTCTCTCTCTCTCTCTCTCTCTCTCTCTCTCTCTCTCTCTCTCTCTCTCTCTCTCTCTCTCTCTCTCTCTCTCTCTCTCTCTCTCTCTCTCTCTCTCTCCTCTCCTCTCTCTCTCTCCTCCTCTCTCTCTTCTCTCCTCTCTCTCTCTCTCCTCTCTCTCTCTCTCGTCTCTCTCTCTCCTCTCTCTCCTCTCTCTCTTTCTCCTATCTCTCTCCTCTCTCTCTCTCTCTCTCTCTCTCTCTCTATCTCTCTCTCTCTCTCCTCTCTCTCTCTCTCTCTCTCTCTCTTCTCTCTCTCTCTCTCTCTCTCTCTCTTCTCTCTCTCTCCTCCTCTCTCTCCTCTCTCTCACTCTCTCTCTCTCTCTTCCTCTCTCTCTCTCCTCTCTCTTCTCTCTCTCTCCTCTCCTCCTCTCTCTCTCTCTCTCTCTCTGCTCTCTCTCTCTCTCTCTCTCTCTTCTCCTCTCTCTCTCTCGCTCTCTCTCTCTCTCCCTCTCTCTCTCTCTCTCTCGTCTCTCTCTCTCTCTCTCTCTGCTCTCTCTCTGCCTCTCTCTCGCCTCTCTCTCTCTCTCTCTCTCTCTCTCTTCTCTCTCCTCTCTC